GTTTCCCACCTCCAAGGACCCTAATCTCCAAACATCTGCCTTTAATCCTGGGGACAGGAAAAGAATTCAGAGGTGCCAGACACAGTTTAAAAACCCAAATGACACTCCTGGCTTCTTGTGTCTTACTGTCTTCTCCTGGGTAATAAAGGGCCTGATTTCAAGGTGCTCAGCCTAGATGGGATACCTCTAAAAAATGGGGGATTTCAGTTCACACCTAGGGCATTCGGAGGTAAGTTGGCAACCTCCAGGGTTCCCATGCCACATGTATGAAGTGCTGGAATCCACAAGCATTCAGTTCCCTCTGGCCTCAGCCCTGGCATGTATGTGAACACCTTGGGCTGTTTCTAAATGAGACCTTGGTTCCTGTCCCTCATGTGGATGTAGTAATAAGACTTCTGGCCTCCACTCTTCCCACTTTCCCCCAATTCTGGCCAAATGGGACAGGGTGTCTTGCTGAAGATCATCCCAAGCTGTCCTTTGCCCTTAGAATGAAGTCTAAGAGGCCATGCATGTGGCAAACATAGCTCCACACTAACAGTTCTCAAGAGCACAGACTTTGAGTTCAGGTACACCTGAGTTTGGATGTTCAGGTGGATCCAGTGTCGAGTCCGAGATCTTGGATGATTTTCTAAGTCTCTGGAAGCCTCTGATGGAAATTGTAAAGAAACAAGTTTTGGGATTAATTTTAACAACCAAGTTGCCTTCCTTCCCTTGCATGTAAAATGGTGACAATGAGACCTATTATAAAGTACTATTGTGAGGCCTTTGCACTTAACCCAGGACTTGGGATAGAGTAAGAGGTTTGGAAGTCAACACATGGAATGAAGGTGGGGAAGATGGTGGGGAGGAGGTGGCTCCCAGGACTCAGAAAGATGATGAGACGAATTTTGGACATGCTGAGAGCAAGGGGCCTATGTGTGTCCAAAGGAGGCATCTAGGGCAGAAAGGAGACCTTGGTTGGAGAGCCGAAAGTGTGGCCAGCATGTAAGCAAGATGTGCGCATGGCAGGGCAGGAAGAGCATGAGATCTCCACAGCCAGAGGCTCACCATGAGGAGGACAACCTGGTGAAGGAGGCTCAAGGAGAGGCAGAGAGGTAGGAGGAAACCAGCAGCAGTGGCTGTGCAGGGGAGACAGGGCTTGGGGCCATCAAAAGAGGCCAGCAGGGCAAAGGCTTCAAGGAGGCCAAGTTAGAAGACAGAGATGGGTCTATGGGATTTGGTGACTAGAAGGTCATTTAGTGGTGACATCTGGTGAGGTCAGGATGGGGAGCAAAGTGGAGAAAGTGATTGTTGACAACTTTAGAGAAATGTGGTTGAGAAAAGAAGGAGACCATGTGAGAACAATGCCTGAGGAAAGGACTCTAGGATTGAGGTTACCAACAGGAGAGGCCAGAGCCAGAGTTGCTGCTGGGTACAGCCAGTTGTTTATTGTTCTTGTCTTCAGCAAGACACCCTGACCCATTTGTCCAGCACAGGGCCCGAATCCATTAGGAAGTCAATAAAAATTTGTTGTCAGGTGTGGTGGTACAGGCCTGTAATCCCAGAGGCTCAGGAGGCTGAGGCAGGAGAATGGTAAGTTCAAAGCCAGTCTGGGAAATTTAGTGAGATTGTCTCAAAAAATAAAAAGGGTTAGGGATATAGCTCGGTGGTAAAGGACCCTTGGGATTGACCCTCAGTACTGGAAAAACTAACTAAATAAATAAATTTGCTGTCCTTCAGRAGGGGGCATGATGGGATCTAGAGCACGTGCAAGGACTGGCCATTGGCAGGAAGAGGAGCCCCTTTGTCATTATGTCAGATGTGAGCAGAATGCAGGGCTCCTTGGGATTCTGTTGCCTCTGAGCTGGACCACAGAGGAAGGACGAGGTGATAAATGAGTGCCTGGCTCCAAGAACCCAGGATAGAGAATATAGTATGAACGCTCTTGGAGACTGCCACTTGGCACCCCCAACTAGGGATTCTGTTCCTTCATCCTCAAATCCAGGGCTCATTGCCTTTATCCCTTCACAGCTGTACCCTCCCAATAGGCCAGCAGATGGTGCCAGTGAGCTGCTGGACTCTGCCAGAGTAGACCAGAGCCAGCCAGTCTGYCCTGGACCCTGAGTCCTCCAAATCCTGGGGCATGCTAAGGGTTAAGCAGTTTCTGACAGGTTGGGAGTTAGGACAAAAGACTAAGGAAGATGTGAGCTGAGGATTTGGGGYGGGGTGGCTCCAGGGGCTCGTTCCTTCTGGTTGCCCTTCATTCCTCTTTCCTCCTAGGCCTCACCTTATCTGTGAGGGTTCCTGCCCTCTGCCCCCCTTCCATTCTCTTCCAGGGAGGCCCCAACCAGCCCAGACTCCTGGTTCTGGCAGAGGCTGGTTGTCTGCCCCTAGGCAGGCACGACCTGGCACCAGCCTCAGACAGGGCTGGGCCAGCCCCTCCCAGTTATGACTGCCTGAACCACCCTCTACTTCTAGAACACCTCCACCTGATGAGGGGAAGGGGTCAGTGGCCAAGGAGGCCACAGAAGGTTGAAGCACAGATCTTGGGAAGAAGGAAGAATGGCCTCCTGGTCTAAGAAGGAAATGAATTAGGAAGGTGTATAATAATGTGGCAGATAATCTAGTCTGCAACTGAGATCTCACAAGGCTATTGGTTCCACCTGAGGTGGCACAGTGTCCTAGAAGCTGAACCGAAAATACCCCCTTCCTATCTTAGCGATCCTATACTCCATATCCAAAGGCTAAGCCAGTCTCTCCCCACCGTGGATTTTCTGATGAATCAAAGTCCTTCATGATTCCTTCAAGGGACAGGGTAGGACCCTGCTTCTCAGTCTCACCTTCACCTTTCTCATCTGCCTCCATCCCCCAATCCTTCCATTTTTGTTCTGGCAAGCACTGGCACTATCTATGTGGCCTTGACCTTGAAAACTCCCCAAGATACCCCCTTCTATCTCCTTCTCTGATTCCCAAGTGGAAGGCCTTAATGGTCTGAGGCTAAAGAAACTATAGTCAGATTATCAGTGGGGTGGCTAGAACTGGGAGGGGTGGGAGGTTCTTACCAATGCACATTCTACAGCTCAGAGCAGGAAGCCAGGCCAAGATGAGTATATACCTCTGAGCCTGGGCTATGCATACAGGGCAATAAGAGTCAGTGGATTTGGATAAAGTATATTTCTCTGAGTTTCCAGAAGCAGGATGACCCAGACTTGAGAAGAGGAAGTTACCAGAAACACACATCTCTCTCTCTCTTAATCTCTCTCTCTCTCTCTCATACACACACACACACACACACACACAGAGAGAGAGAGAGAGAGAGAGAGAGAGAGAGAGAGAGAGAGAGGGGAAGGATCATGGCTTAGGGAACCATACAACCACATGGTACAGAGAAGCCATGGAGCCCCATGGACATAAGTACATACAAACACAGGCACACAAGGTAAATGTACCCAAGGTCAGGCGTACACACCCTCCCCAGGAAATTCCTGCCTCCTAGGGCAGGTCTAGTCTGTCATCCATACTTCCAGAAGGAGGGAAAGGTAGAGTAAGAGGAGTGGCTCTGGCCAGAGATGGGTCCTCCACTCAGAGCTTCTTCCCTTGGCCTGGCCCCCAGCCAATCCCTGTGATCTCCCTGGCCCACTAGGAGCCAAGTCTGGGTGCAGAGAAGGCTTTGGAGGGGGCATTTTCATAGAACCCTGGCACAGAGCCTAGGCGCAGGAGAGAGAGACAATGAGCAACAGGGTTAGGAGCTGTGATAAGGAGTCTATAATCTTCTCCCAGGACCTAAAGAGAACAGCAGGAGGCACTGGGCAAGGCCTGGAGGCTCACAGGGAGACAAGGACCCCCTCTGCGGTGGCTTGCACTTTCTCTCCTCAGCARAAGGCCTGGCACCCAGGTACTGGCACCAACTCCCAGTCCCTGGCAGAGCTTTGGCATGAAGCTAGGCACAGGGTGCCAGACACAGGGGTGGGCAGGGTGGCACCAGGCCACACACAAAYGAGGACCTTCATACACACAGGCATGGATATGCACCCACACACCACTTATTTTATCYCCTGGGGATTCAAGGGAGAAGGGCRGGGACCACCCTGTCCTAGAGGCTGCACTCACTGACTCTGGGGGTGTTCCCATTGACTTGGCTCTTGCAGGGGGAGGGAGGAGAGGAGCACAGGTAAGACCTGGAAGCTTCCTCTGGTCCTCCACCCACCCCCACCCCCCAAACACATGTACTTGAGTGGCATGAGGTGGCTTTTGTGCATCCCCAGAGTTGGTCCTGGAGGGAAGAAGGAAGGAGGGAAGGTCACCTCTTTTCCCTCAGCCCCTGCCCCAGGAGGATTTTGTGACCGCAAGCTACTCATGTGTGAGTGTGCGTTAGGGCATGCATGCCTGGGACCTTCGGCCGCACACGGTGTGGTGATGCGGGTGTGGCAGGCGGTGGCCAGGCGAGGGCGGACTGGTTCGCCGCTGAATTCCGCCAGACTTCGGCGGTACTATCAATGTGGAGAGCCTGAATGGAAGTTGTGTTTGTCCTCAGGTGTCCCGASCAAGTGTGAGCAGGATGTGCTCACCTGGGCGCGGCGGCTCATGGCCCTGGGTGCGTTCGTTCGTGGGGTCTCAGGGGTGAGAGGATGCAGAGCACAGGAGCTGGGCCCCGGAGCCCTTTACTCAGCTCAGCCCGCGGCAAAAGTCTCCTCCTCGCGCAGCAACTTGGGACTTTGTTCTGGCTTCTTCGAAAGCGGATGGGGCGGAAAGGGAGGGAAGGGTGGGCGGGGGTGGGGGGGATGGGGGAACACCTGCCCAGCGGGGGGTGCAGGGCGTGAAGTGAAGAAAAGCCCCACCCCCGTCCCGCCTCCGCCCCGCCCTTGTCCCGCCCCCGGGGTTCTTTATAAGCTGGGTCCGAGGGCCAGCCGAGAAAGTATCCCTCCCGCCCCAATCTGTGTACCCCTGCACCCTGCGTCCCGGCCCCGAGTCCCTCTCCTCGCTCCCAAGTCCAGCCCTCGCCCCGCCCCGGCCCAGCCGCCATGGAGCGCTGGCCTTGGCCGTCGGGCGGCGCCTGGCTGCTCGTGGCGGCCCGCGCGCTGCTGCAGCTACTGCGCGCAGACCTGCGTCTGGGCCGCCCGCTACTGGCGGCGCTGGCGCTGCTGGCCGCGCTCGACTGGCTGTGCCAGCGCCTGCTGCCCCCGCCGGCTGCACTCGCCGTGTTGGCTGCCGCCGGCTGGATCGCGTTGTCCCGCCTGGCGCGCCCGCTGCGCCTGCCGGTGGCCACTCGCGCGGTGCTCATCACCGGTGAGTGCGCGGAGTGCGGGGAATCCAGGCTAGAGGGCGGGACCGCACACCTAGAGGGTTCCCCATGGGCATGGCCAAGGCGGGCTCCCCAGCCCAGGAGAGAGAGTTCCCCTTCCCTTGAGTGTTAGGGATCAAGCCAAGTAGGAAGCGCTGAGCACCTCCCCGAATCTGGGAAACTACCTGCCGCTCCAGGGAGTGTTGGAAAGAAAGTGAGCTAGGGAGTAGGCAGGTGCTCAAAGGAAACCGTGACTGAGAAAAGGGGAACCTTCTGGAGTTTGGGGAGTTTATGCTGTGTGCCCCTGTGAAAGAACAGTCGTGTAGCAGGGAATAGAGCTCTGAGGGACTTCAGAAGACACAAGTTGGAGGAGAGTCAGTCATCCATTGAACTCTGCCTGGTATCTCCGTGTGGGACGTCGTCGTGTGGGACGTTGTCGCATGTTCTGTTCCCTGGAGGCAGAGGAAGGAGCTTAGAAGGGAACTGCACTGACTGGAATCCTTGAAGTTCAGAAAATCTTGAGGTCACCATGAGGAAAAACTGGGCATTCAGCTGCCTCTTAGGTCTAACCACCTACCGGCAACCTTCTGAGATAGCAAGAGTCTGCACCCCGCATCTCTGCCTGGTCCTCAAAGAGGTCCTGGAGAACAAGGCTCAGGTGCCTCTGGCAGCCTGACTGAATTTTCTTGGTCTGGAGTGGGGAATAAATCCATCACTTGAGCAAGGGAAGGAAAAGGAGGTGCTCAACCACAAGTGGAGATGGGGAGAAAGGCCTGGGGGCACTGGCCCATTGTATGGGGACAGGAACAACCTACTTTCTCCCTCAACCAACAAGGCTGTGGACAGGTACTCTGGGCTCTTGCATTGGGCCTGTCCTGAGGACACCTAGCAAACTGGCTTCTCAGAGACCCATTAGGGGTCCTGCATGATAAATGGGACTGGGAGAACTCTGGAGGAAATCCTTGAGCTGGGTCTCAGAGGATGCAGGGAGAATCGTGAAATATGAAAGGTGTCTTGGGTCAGAGAAAGGGTGTGGGACAAAGGTTTAAGGCAAGAATAAGTATGACCTGGGTAGGGGACAGTCAATAACCGGTCTGGCTACAGGGATGTTATGTGACGTAAGATTTCCTTGGAAGAGGCCTTGGATAGCAGGTAAGAAGCTAGACTATGCTGAGGTGGGGAGCGATGGAAACTGGTTGGAGGGCTTTGGGCTTTAGCAGTGGTAGAAATGGAGTAGAGCTCAGGCCAAATGGTAGAGACCCAATTCGGGGTGTAGTGTGAAGATTCAGGAGACCCAAGTTTCAGGGGTTTGAGGAAAGAAAGCCATCAGATCCTCCTAGCATGAAGCAGGAACTAAGTTATAGGCTCTGCCCTCAGGGACAGGRCAGATCTCCTCCTGCCTTCTAGTTTGTGAGCTGCCTCAACAGGACCCAGGCCATYTGCAGGTATTAGAGGCCCTACTGGGCAGTCTTTCCTGAGATTGACCTCAGGTTTTTATGATGCTGCTGTGGATTCTCCTAGCCTTAAGGCTGAGAGAGGTGAGAGAAGGACTGCCCCCTGAGACCTGGATTCCCTCCATCCCTGGTTGCAAAGCTTCCATCTCCTGTAGCACTGATTTCCTGCCTTCCCAATGCCTTCACATCTGGCATTTCCTCATTCAAGATCAGGCTACAAGACACTTAAGTGACCAGGTCCTGCCCTACCTAAGAGCACTGTGTCTTATGCCTGCCAGTGCTGCCACCCACCCCTCACTGCTTGCCAAAAACTACTTCATTAGTTCTGCTATGGGTTTGGGTTTGGGCTGGGTGCCTATATGCAAACTCATGTGCTAATGGGTGACAGGGGTAAGCCTGTGTGTGAACATCCAGGCAGATTGGAGGTACTAAGAGTTACCCAGTGTAATGTATGCTGGTAAGAAGGTGTGTAAAATGTAGGTGACTATGTTGGGACTCCATCGCTGAGGTTCTGGGAGGCTTTAGTTTTCCTGTGGAGGGCCTATCTGCTTTGGGAGGGAGCTGAGGAAAATGTATGCAGGCATGATCCCCCCMAAAAAAACTCTTTTCCCCTCCCCCTTTCCTCTCTCCTCCCCCAGCTAGACTTGCCTTTGAAGGACTCCCCAGCATGAGTTGGTGGGTGCCCAACTGCACAAAGCCCAACTTGCAGCCCCCAACCCAGCTTTGTTCTCTGCCTCAGCAGAGGGGGTAGGGATGAAATGAGGGGTACTGAGTGTTCAGAGCAAGCAGAACTGCTTTGCAGCTTTTCTGCTCAGCAGGACAACAAGGGGGGATGTCAGAGGGCCTTCTCCTTCCTTGGCCCTCCCCCTCCCCTTACTGGCTACCCACAGAGCCAGAATCAGAATCAAGAAGCAGGGGGTTATCGGGTACCCACAGACCCCCTCACTGGCCCTACCTGGAGGCTCTTCTCTTTGTATACCAACCAGAATAAATTAAGCCTCCAACAGTGGTAACTGATGTCCAGTCATATTCTGTGGGATTAGGAAGGGATTCAAATGCAAGTCTGTTCTCAATCTACCTTGGTTCCCTTTCTGGGGGCAAATAGTCTGGGGTTCAGAAAATATAAACTCAGAAAATATTTTCTGGGGTTCAGAAAATCATGACCCAACTGTTGTCATGATTGGAATTGCAAGGGTTGCGGGAGGGTGCYGAGGATGAGGTGAGGATATGTTTCCAGCTTACCTAGAGCCTCAAACAATAGTTGAAACTGGGATTGGAGAGAGTCTCAGGTTGGACAGAGCCTGATGGATGATACCAGAGAGCTTGGGCTTCATCTTGAGGACTCTGGGGAGCCTTGTGAAAGTTTTCAGCCACAGAGTGATTATCATTTTTGGAAAAATCCCTCTGGCTACTTAAGGAAAGGATGAATTCAGTGAGCTAGAAGGGACTAAATGATTGAGGATGCTGCTTCAATTTCCAGTTAAAGGAAGGAAAGGCAAGGTTCTCAGAGTAGGGAGTCAGGTAGGAAGGGAAGCTGTACAGTAACTGCATGCGAGCTATGGCTTAACATCAAGCAAGCAGGAGGACATCAGGGATGGTGCAGGGTCTCAGGCAACCTGGGATAGAATCCTGACCTTATTCTGTGCTGGCTACGTAATTTCAGGAAGCAAATTAGCATTACTAAGACTCAGTTTCTTCTGTAAAGTCGGGGACAAAAGCCACATTTGGTGGGGTAGCTATCAGGAGATAGGAAAATGGTAGCTGTCACAGAAGGACAAAGCCTACCAGAAGTGGATATAGGGAAGGAGAGCAGGCTGTTAGCTAATACTGAGTTGAGTGTCTAAGAGCCTGGGTCCCACCCAGACCCCAGTGATCTTCGGGTTGTCTTGGGGCTGGACTGGGTCACCAAGAGAGTTCACTAGCTGCCCTGCCCTGGCCAGGCTGCGACTCTGGTTTTGGCAAGGAGACGGCCAAGAAACTGGACGCCATGGGCTTCACGGTGCTGGCCACCGTGTTGGAGTTGAATAGCCCCGGCGCCCTAGAGCTACGTGCCTGCTGTTCCCCTCGCCTAAGGCTGCTGCAGATGGACCTGACTAAACCAGCAGACATTAGACGTGCGCTGGAGTTCACCAGGGCTCACACCACCAGCACTGGTCAGTTGGCATTGCTCCACAGGGTAGGGCGTGCCTGGGCGGGTGTGAAAGGGACAGGGATTTAAAATTTGCTACTGGACTGACCTGAGGCTTCTCTCCCTGCCTTCATGACTGCAGGCCTGTGGGGCCTGGTCAACAATGCAGGCCTCAACGACATAGTAGCTGACGTGGAGCTATCTCCAGTGGCCACATTYCGCACCTGCATGGAGGTGAATTTCTTTGGTGCATTGGAGCTGACCAAGGGCCTCCTGCCGCTCCTACGCCACTCAAAGGGTCGCATTGTAACAGTGGGTAGCCCAGCAGGTGAGAGCCCTCCCCCTCTGGAGGGCAGATAGGGATTTGGGGAAACCCTGGCAAAGGCTGAGCTGCCTCACTGTGCCCCTTTTATCCCTAGGAGACATGCCATATCCATGCTTGGCAGCCTATGGGACCTCCAAGGCAGCCATGGCACTGCTCATGGACTCATTCAGCTGTGAACTGCTTCCCTGGGGGATCAAAGTCAGTGTCATCCAGCCTGGCTGCTTCAAGACAGGTGAGGATCGGGGCTATGGATGGGGCACGCATGGGGTCTGGTACAGGGAAACAGGTGGGCATAGTCTTATAGGAGCAGGGACAGAGCTGAAGAATGGACTTGGCTTTGGCTGGAGGAAACGTGGTTAAATAGACTGTTAGCCTTTGGTTTCCTAGCCAACCTCCCTCTGACCTTGCTAYCTGCTCCCCAGAGTCAGTGAGAAATGTGAGCCGATGGGAACAGCGCAAGCAATTACTACTGGCCAACCTGCCCCAAGAGCTGCTGCAAGCCTACGGTGAAGACTACATCGAACACTCGCATGGGCAGTTTCTGCATTCGTTGACCCTGGCCCTACCTGACCTCAGCCCGGTTGTCGATGCCATCACTGACGCGCTGCTGGCAGCTCGGCCACGCCGCCGCTATTACCCAGGCCGCGGCGTGGGGCTCATGTACTTCATCCACTACTACCTGCCAGAGGGCCTGAGGCGCCGCTTCCTGCAGAACTTCTTCATTAATCCCTGTCTTCCCCGAGCACTGCGGCCTGGCCAGGACACACCCCAGGCCCTAAAACCCAACCCAAACCCTTCCCCAGTGGCAGCTCGGTGAGCTCTGTGTACATAAGGCCTAGCTGCTCCAGCATAGGAGGCTCTGTGAGCCCTTGGCTCTTCCCTGGCTATTATGACCCCCCAAAACCTATCCTAGAGCCTAGCCTAAACCACTGCAGCCCTACCCACTGCAGATGCCCAGTCCAGGCCCAGAAGGCTGAGGTTTTCCAGTGAGCTTCTGGGCCTCTCTACTGCTTCATGAGCCTACAAAGACACCTCTTGGGCACAGTGTTCCACCCTTCAGCTTGGAGAACYCAGTTGAATGGGGAGTTTAGTGCACAATTTAGCTGTAGCCTTTGACAGGACCCTGCAAATAGTACCTCTGCAAACTAAGGAGTGACTGGGTGATTAGGGACTCTTCCAGGATTGTTTCTCAGCACCCATGCCTCAGTGCTGCAAATCCATGGTTAAATTCCAAGTGTCTCTTGACCAACTCAAGAATTGGAAGCCCAGCCTCCCTCCCCAAGCCATAAGGAACTGCATACCCAACTTGCCCAATTGCTACTTTTTAAATAAAGACAAAATTTTATTTCTCCTAGAATGGGGGAGATGTACTGTTTGGAGGAGGTGACTGGTTGCCTGGATAATAGGGTGTGGCTGTCTAGCAGACTGGGAACAGCCTGGGGAGCTCTTGGGGCTCAGCATGGGGGCCAGGGCTCTGGGCACAGGCCTGACTGGGCTCCCCTGGCACATTCTGTGGTTCACACCCTACCTCCTCTGTTGACCTCAGGCAAATAATTTATCCCTAGGTCTGGATTTCCTCATAGTGAAYTGAGGAGAATAATCATGATGGCAGGGAGTTATAGGGCTCAGTAAAGCAATTAGGGAGGCATGTGGGTCCAACAGGGCCAAGACCCAGCTCTCCAGGCCCATCTCTGAATTTGAACTTCCGGCAGAAGGGGCTATCCTCCAGGGACTTCCCTGATCCTGAGGAATCTGGGCTGCTGACTGTAGTGGTGGGCTCAGCAAGGGTGTGGTTTTGAGGGAAGTTGGGGGTCTTGGAGAGATATCAGGGTCCAAAGGAGGCAGCAGACAATGGACTTAAAGAGGGCAGTTTTATTGTCTCAGAGGGGCAGAGCTACTTCCTCCATGCCCCAGGGACACATACATACACACACATATACACACTCTATCCTTTCCATGACTATGGGAGTGACCCTCAGAGGAGACAGCAGGCTCACACTGCTCCCACAGGTTCTCAGGTTAGGAAGGGGCATGAAAGTGACTACATGCTTCTCAGACATGTCAGTAGCTGTAAACATAGGGTTGAGAGGACCTCATTGCTCTGGAGGGGGTCTTGGTCCATTCTTGGTTAGGAGGGAGGTGCCCAGCCCCTTTTCAGGCCTGAAAGCAGTCCCAGAGGGAGTCAATAAAGCTGGGCAGCCCCTAGGACAATGTGCTACCTGCCCCCAGGGCAGGCAGGTGAGCCATGGGCTTTGTCACAGCACACACAGATATACACATTTGCACTTAGGAGCTTTGGGTCAGGATGCTAGAAGATAGGGATGTAATTGTCGATCTTGGCGCGGTGGCGCTGGGCAATACACTCAGCAATCCACACAATGTTGCGACACTCCTGCTCCTTGAGCTTCACAAAAGCATAGAAGACACCAAAGTGGAACTGGTTCAAGAAGGCCAACTTGTTCAGCTTCACCTGAGGACAAAGGCAGGTGTGGTGTACATGGCCATGGCCAGACTCAGGCTTAAGCCACCAACCCCTCCCTATGCCAGGCAGGACCTGAAAGAGCCCCATGCTTACCTCATGCTCGAAGAATCGGTCCTCTAGGGTCTTGTCTCCAGGGTTGCTGCCTGCACCCTCGAAAAGCAGTTTGTATTCCTGGCCAAAGAGTTGGGGGAAGCACAAGCATGAGAGTGCTGCTGGGTACTGGAGGGATATGTGGTCTACCCACCATCCTCCCAGCCAGGGTACTCACTGGGTAGTAATCGGCCACGTTCTTGACCTGCTCATAGTCATCAGCCCTAGCCAGCTGAGCCAAGCCCTCAGGGTAGAGGCGCCCGCAGTGCGGGAAGAGCTTGGCACGGTCCTCCTTGGATAGCTCTGTGCCAAAAGAATTGATGGTGATGATGAAGGCGCGGCGGTCTGCTTCAAACTTCAGGGCAAGTGCAAAAACACAAAAAGAAAGGGAGGAAGAGGAAGATGTAGTCAGTCAGTTGGCAGAACTTCCCCCAGGGCTAGTGGGGACCAGCAGGCAGGAGGGTGGGCAGGCACTCACCTCCAGAATGGGGCACATGGCATCAGCTGTGGTCCCACCCAGTAAGGTGCAGAACTTGTAAAAGGACTCCAAGTAGGCCTGTGTAGAGCATGGAGCTTCCTCAATGCAAGCAGGGAGACTCTGGATGCTTGTTAGGCCCCTACTCACAGCTCCCTCCTCCCCTCCTCAGCCCCTTTCATGATAGGGATTGGTCAGGAAACTTTAGGGCAGAGCTCCTAAAATATCAAGCAATTCTAATAGTTAATCAGCAGGCAGGAGAAGCCCACTGCCTTCTACCCAGGAGTGACAGAACAGTTTCTGACCAACAGTCTGCTTCAGGGTGCATGTCTCCCACCCCCTCATCTCACAGAAAGCCAGGTTCAGAGGGACCTCCCTCTTCTTCCTGCACTTCTGCCTTCCTCTTCCCCAAATCTCCCAAACTTCCTCTTCCTGAGTCTCAGAAAGGTTTCCATGGGCTATGGAGCAAAGGTTACTCCTGAGAGTTCAAAGAGATGGCTTGAACTGAATCCCTGGGCCCTTGCTGCATCCTACCTTGCAGAACACCAGCCCCCACCCCACCAGCCCCTAAACATCACAAAGCAGGAACCAAATTGTCAATATAGTTCCTGCTGAAGGATGGTTATTGCCTATGTAGACGTCAGCCTCCCAGTGCAATGGCTGGGCATGTAGGCTGCTGGTGGGAACAAGCACTTCCTGCCCAGGCAAATTTGATCTGTTGGGCAAAAGGAAAGGACAGGTCATCCCAGGTCCCAAGTCCCTCCCAATACTAGCTTATAAAGGCTTCTTCTCCCACACCTCTCCACAGTCTTGCAGACCCCATGGGTAGCTCTCTTGCAGGGGTACTCTTCACTCACAGCCCTGGGGTCCCATCTTTATGGCGTGGTCACAGAGACTCTGACTTTACAGGGTAGATCCAATTCTGCTAAGTTACAGAAGGGACTTGGACCCCCAGGCTCCACTATTCCAAGAGAAAGGATCCAAGACCCAGAACTCCATAAGGACCCAGGCTTAATCTGGCTGGCAACACTGGACAGGCTGGGCTTGGGGAAGCGCCTGAGGGTGACCAGTAGGGAAGAAACAAACAAACAAAAAAAGGACTGGAACAGGTCAGGAATAAGAAGCCCAAAAGAAGAGTAGAATCCAGGTCAGAGAATTGCCAGGAGTCAGACAGCCTGGGAATAAAGACAGCTCCCAATCTCTACCATAGCCTGGTTGTTGCTTTTCAGTCCCTTCACTAGTCAGTCCCCTGTGGCCTTCCCTGTGGCCAGTCTAGCTAGTTGTGCTGAAATCCTGAGGCCTACTCCAGTGGGGCCCACAGTTCCTATTTGTGGGGGAAGCCACCAGCCAGGTCTTGGGCTCCATGCCCAGCTGCCACCTATTTGCTTGGCCAAGCTGTATCGATCCCTGGAGAGGTTGAACCCAGGGTTGAGAAGGCTGGTAGGATAGGCCTAGACTCTCCTCAGAAGGGTAGGGTAGCTAAAGAAACTGGTAAGACCCAGGTACCAAGGTCACCTCTCCCCCACACCCTGTCTCCTGGAGTCTGCCAGCCCATGGCTGCTGTACCAGCTGCCTATAGTTCCCACCTGCCAGGCGGCTAAGGGTCCACCTAATCTCCCATCTGTGGTCATTGGGCTGGGACATTGCCTGACGAGCAGGAGGTCCTGGCACAGAGCCCAAAGTGTTAGGTTAGTGTTTATGAGCTGATGCTTGGGCAGCCCTTGCAGGTGACTCCAGCTAGAACCAGTCAGGCCCAGTGAGGGTGTGGGTGAGGCTGGGGGGACAGCCACACCCCTTATCCTGTCTCAGGGCAAAGAACCGGCAACAGGCCAGCTGGGTGGGYGGGCACACTAGGAATGTGTTCTCTCTCTCTCTTGGCTGCCTGGGCTGGCTGGCCTCCCTGTTCACAGGGTGGATGAGAGTCCTCACTTTAGCAAACAGGCTAAGCCAGGTGTGATACCTGGTACTGCCAGTGACTTACTGTGTGGCTTCAGACAACCACCTTACTTTGCTGAGCCTTCAGTTTTCTCATTTTATAAATGATGACAATAATGTCTACTGACTGCTAGAGTAGTCCTGAGGATGAAAGTTGAGGATGATCTTCCTATCTCTAATGTGCTCTCCACACTATAGCCAGAGAGGGCTCTCTGAGTACATTACTCTGCTGGAAATCTTTGCTAGCTGACCTTATGCATGGGATAAAGTTCAAACTTTTGGCCTAGCATTCAAGACCCTGGGTGACTTGACCCTGTGCCTGCCTCTTCCTCTAGCACCTCCCCACTGTCTATGTGTAACCTGCACTTCCCACCTGTCTGTGCTCTGTGCTTTCCTTCTGTGTTTACCATTTCCCTGCACCATCATGACCTCCAGGCAGACTAGGGCACTTGGACTCAGGCTGTGCCAAATGTTAACCAGTCAGTTCCAATCAGAGAAAGAGAAGACCCTTACCATGGAGACTAGACAGACACATGATCTCAGGGTTAGGTCAGCAAGTCCCCTGGCCAGGGTCATCCCCAGCTCCACTTCAAGGAATGCCCACTGCTGATCCATGTTCCTGACTATAGTCCATCAAGAGTCTTGGCACTACAGCTCAGTACCTCATCACAGCCAGAGCCCAGCCTGTCCCAAATATCCCTAATGGTCCCTAGCTCTTAATCTCTTTGGACCAGGGCAGTGCTGGCCCAGTCCATCCTCTATCCCCAGAATCAGCCATAGCCTAGTGGAAAGCAGAAGGTGGGATGAGGCATGACTCTAGTCTGGGAACCTGAAAGGCTCAAAAAGACCTGGCTGCTCCCCTCCCACTACCATAACCGAGCATACCACTGCCTTTGTTCAAGCACCTATCCTGGCTGGCAACAGCTGAGATGGGGTAGGTCTGAGGGCTACGGTCTGAGCAGTGGCCTGTGACCCTCCTAAATGCTGGGAGACCGGCAGTCCAGGAGCCAGCTCTAACAGGCCAAGTGGTAGAGTGCCAGCCACTCCTGCTGATCTTATCTGAGCCTGCCGCAGGCACCACAGGATGGAGAGCCTGTTCCATGCAGCTTTGCACCCATCACAGGAACAAGAGAGCAAGCTGATAAGAGTCTGGTGCAGCTGTGTCCTTCCCAAAACCTCACATAAATCACCATCCTACCATACCCACAGCCCCACCCACCAACAGGTTAATCCTTCACTGCTCATGTGCAGCAATACCTTGTAGAGTGTATTGCGGATAATCTCGATGTTCATCTCATCA